ATAAAATGGAACCGCCGGTTCCATTGTACGGTTCGGTCCGGTCCGGGTATTACAATTTTCAAAATAGGAACCGGAAATTACTCGGCCCGTTTGAAACGGGTCGGTCCGGTCCGGGTTTTACGGTTTCTATTCTCATGTCTTGAAATTAGTAAAAACTCACGAAGTTCCAAAAATCAATAATCAATAATATAGGACATTAGCAAGTTTCAAAATAACAACATAGTGGCGCATATATAACACAAGTGAAAAGTCCAATACTCCATATTTTCTTGTATATAAGTTTCAAACAATTAAAGAAATTCCAAAAATATGCAACACAGCCAAAATACATATTTTCTAACATTTGTATTTAAACATGTTGTCTAACATCACATATTTAAGTGATTACTTTTTTTATATTAAATTTTCTGTATTAGCCAAAGTTGACACATACATGGTGGGTGGTAAACACAATTTATATGTTTTAATAACAATATAACAAAAAATATAACAAAATCGTGTTGAACAAATAATTAAATTCGATAGAAAGGAATAATTCAATAACAATAAAAAGTAAAAACATATTTATGAAACATTTAATCAATAATTTGAAAACAAAAGGATGTTACTGCAACTCAATTTAAAATCCTACTTCTAGCACAGGAAACAAAACTATTTCAAAACCGATTATTAAAAAACTATTAATAAATTAATATACAATATATATAACGGGCCGGGCCGGGTACCCGTTATTTTTTAATTTTGGAACCGGTCTGGTTCCTTAAAAAAAATTACCCGACCCTACCCGGACCGTTTTATGGAAACAAAAAATGGAACCGGCCCGTTTTGGACCCGAACCGCCATTACCCGGACCGGACCGCGGTTCCAAGACCCGTTTGCCCACCCCTATTAGCTACCATTGTTCACTAGATAAATTAAAACAAACAAACCCAACACTTCGCAAATAACACTATCAATAGCCAGTCTTATATAGGCTCATCAGCTCATTTATGCACTTGAAATCAACAATTTACAAAACCCCATGGCCTCAAATACAGAAAATAGTGAAGCTAACACCAAACCCATATGGGCACTAAAGGCACGGGTGGTAAGAGCTCTGAGATGCCAGCACAAACAACGGGTCCGAAATGGAAGCGTCCGATAGATCTAACTCCAGATTGCAACAACAAAGGATGAGATGACTTAGCCACACCCAACCGCCATGCATCGAAGCTGCTTCACCACTGGCAACAAAGGGGACTCCAGGCTGATCCTATTGACGGCGGTCCCCCGATGATCGAAAGGAGAAACCTCAGGGTTGGTAACGGCGGGCTTGTGTCCCTTTGAACTTTGCATTTATTAATATTGGAGATTGAATTTAAGAAATTGCTCAAAATGAGACAAAAACATGGTTAAAACTCCAAAATAGGACTTTAAGTTTTAAATTGCTTAAATAGGACTCCAGATTACACTTTTGCCCTTTCTTTTATCAAGCTCAATTACTCGCTCTGTATTACGATTTCTTCCGCCCCAGGCCCCCCATCTCTTCCGATCTCTTCCGCCTTAGGCCCCCCAACTCTTTCGATTTCCCCTATCGACGCCATCGATAGCAACTCTCCAGATCGAAGCTTCCCATCTCCAAATCGAAGTCGCTGCAGACTACTCCAACAATTGCAGGTATCCACCTCTGCTCTTCTTCTTCTACTTTCTTCTTCTTTCTCTTCTTGTTCTTCTTCTTCTTCTTCTAATCCTCTTCAAAAATATGGTCCTATGTTTTCTTCTTTGATTTTTTTTGGATTTGAATTTTATATATTAATTTGGGGTTTTTGGATTTAAATTATATTTATTCAGCAAAATGCCACTTTTATAATCTGAGAGTGTCAAAATTATTGGTTCTTTGAATAAACTGCCATGTTTGTGGCAATATATTTATCAAAATGACAATCTGAAAAATGTCATATGTCCATAAGAAAATGTCATTCTTATGGCATTTTGTGGCATTTTTATGACATATCTCAGAATGACATAACTACTTGTTATTAGGAATGACATGTGTTTTGACATGTATTCAAAATGATGCCAGAACTATCATCCTTAAATTGTCACTATTTTTCATCTAAAAATTCACATTTTTTACAACTGAGAATGTCATGTTTTTATATGAAACTTCCATCACCATGCCATTTTCGGAAATAGTATCTCTATAAATGACAACATTTGGCAATCTAGTAAAAAAATGTCATTAAAATATTGACCTCTTGATATAATATAATGGCATAAAGTGACAATTTTCTAATAACAAGTATTTTTCATAAACAAATCTAATCAAAACCAAAAAAGTAATAAAAACCCAAATCCAAATATTTGCGGTCATGATCGGTCGTTGAATTGTCATTTCTATCTCAAGTTTTCATATCCAAAATAGTATTTTGATTTATAATCTGAAATTGTAAATGAATTAAGAATAATCAAAAATTGAAAAGTGAAGAAACAAGGAACTGGAAGAAGAAGATGATGAGATGAAGAAGAGGAAGAAGATCGAAGAAGATGAAGAAGAAAGAGGAAGAAATTAAAGGAGAAGGAAGAAGAACGTAAAGAGGAAGAAGAGGCTACCTGGTGCGCTGCTATGGATTCTCCACCGGACCAGATGTGCGGCAATGTAATTGCCGATGCTATTCTGCCGCTTATCGATGATCATTAAGGGTGTTTTTGTCCAGTTAGGTAATTTGTAGTCCTAGTTTTGCAATTTAAACATAGGAGTCCTAATTTTGCATTTGTTCCATGTTTTAGTCCTATTAGGGGAATTCTCTCATTGAATTTTGATCAAAAGGGAATCTATTTTCACGGACTTTGAACTTTGCCTTTATTAATATTGGATTCCTCATACATACTCATCCACACATTTTAAATACGGAGTACTATGTATATATATGGTGTAGGTACTAGCCATAATTATTGCATTTAGAGTTGTTTGATGACTTTGTTTTTAAACTTATCTCGTTTATCACTCATTTTTTTTATCAAATACATAAATTTTTATTTCAAATATTGAATTGTGTAGTACTACGTAAAAAAAAAAAGTAGATTGAAGTTATTTTTTTGAGTGTATTAGCTGAAGTTACTTTAGAGGATCATTTTGGCTAACGGAGTAGGTAGGGGTGGCAACGGTGTTTGACATATGATTCATGTGGTAAAAAAAAAACCTGGTTAAAACTAAGAGCTTTGGTACCATGTGAGAATACTAGACAAGCTTACCAAACTAATAGGCCTGGATCTCTCTCTCTCTCTCTTACACACACACACATAATGAGTAAAGAATTCTAAATAAATTATAGTTCCTGCTAAATATAGAAAATGAAATAAAGTATAATTAGCATATGAGGGTTTTCCACAAATATTACTGAAATATAACTAATGGAAAAAAATATTACTATAGTTACTATGCAAGTCACTATAATGGTAAAGTTAAACACATTCATGGTCACTAAAGTTAATTACTATGATAGTCAATAAATCATATATTTGTCCACTACTTTTATTTCAGTCATATATTTGTCATTATTTCAAAGTAGTACTACCTCCGTCCCAATTTGATGATACCATTGCGGTTTACGAAGTTTGACTGACGATAAAGCAAACGGATCCCGATCCGATCTCAAATTACTTTTAGAAAAAAAAATTGCATATTCAGAAACTGCATTAAAAATTTTACAAAGTTCCAAACACCTGAATTCAGAGTGATTTGTGTTGACTAATGGAGAGAGAAGTGATACCATCAAATTGGGACGGAGGTAGTATATTATTACTTAACAATCCTTAGTTGCCATTATTATTCTCAATTCTCATTAGAGAATTGGTTTTGACTTTATTCAATGTGTAAAATATAGAAAGCTCCATTTCATAACCTAGTACGCTAAGATTCTAAGTTTATATATATTCAAGATAAACCCAATTCATGTTCTGGCACTCATACATAAAAAAAAAAGGATGACACCCCATCACCGAGGGCCCCCCAACACCGACCGGACGGCACGATGGGAGGATGTAAATTGGACTATAATCACAATCTGACAGATAGAGAGTGGGGCTCTGTCCTCGGTATTTGCAGAAGCCCTATGCATTTTTCAGCATAGTAACCCCTCATTGCAGTTGTCGGGATTCGAACCCGAGACCTAACCCTTGTGGCACTCCCTCGCTACCAGTTGAGCTACGCCCACCGGTAAAACTAAGGTATGGGTAAACTTTTATAGTGACTAGCTCCACCGCTTTCACGGCCCCTTACCCCAGAAACTCAACTTTGGCTTGGCCCTACGGGTTAGTATACACCGCTTGTCCCTACCACTTGAAGGGTTTTTTGGGGGAGCATAGTTCCACTGGTGCTAGTGGGACTCGAACACGAGACCTCTCCTATGCAGGGGTAACCTCACAACCAGCTATGCTAGGAGTGAAGGTTTCTGGCACTCATCATGTTTATACTCATACACGTGCACGAACGTGCATATCAATTAAGTTTTTTATTGAAATAGTTCCAACACATTATACAACTCGCCCTAATAAGATAAATGACTCATCATTTAGAGATGTTCATGATTATCTCTGGGTTCCTTTCATTCCTCATTCCTAGTAAGAAGAGATGACCTAATCACTTTAAATTAACCTCGGGGAGGTCTAAGTACATTGCCAGTCAACCCCAGAAACCAAAAAACCGCTTGCACAATCAATCCTAGACTATACACTTCTTATAATACAACAAAAACAAAAACAAAAAATTACTTCCAACGTCCCGCTATGATTGTCTCATTTTATCTTTTCGATCTGTCCCACTAAGATTATCTTATACCTTATTTGATAAAATTTATATGGTTCTAAATCATTCTTACTTTATTCTTACTTTATCAATTCAATATCAACCACATAAACTCACTTTTATTAATAACTGTGTCACCCTCTCTTGTCCCAAACTTAGGGGGAGAGGTAGTATAACATATGGGAATTTAACATTCAATATAGCTAGAGAGTGACAAAAGGCAAATTGAGTGACATCTAACTTTTAGCACGGGAACAAACATCACAATTGATGTATTGAGTCGTACGAAACATCACAAGCCATGGCCATTATTTGCCCATTTGATTCCCCAACTATTTTTTTATCTCTACACATAATTCATCCTCAATTTGACCATGGTCAGTTATGATAACTACATGGTTTGAAGCGACCCCCCTACACCGGTAAATTCCTTTCACAAAAGGAACATACAAACCTTTTATTATAATTATAAAATTATAATCAGTAGTAATAAACGTAGAAGTATGAACTAAGATTAACAAATGTTTTAGACATACTCTAAAACTTAAAGATGGTAGATTGTCATCACATACAGTCCCGATGATGAGACCCTCCTCAATCCAGATCTTTATTTTCTTCTGATTTGCTCTTCTGGACTTTTTGCGGGTGTTAGTCTTAAGCATGTTATAAGCGTCCGTCCACCTTACATTTATCCATCTTCAAGGGAATATGGTCCATATGAGGGTTTTGATCATATTTGATGCCCACTACCTTTGTAAATGCTACTGCATGAATAATTGGTTTCTGAAAATATTATGGAGATGTAATTGATATTATGATAATTTAATCTATCCGGACTTTCCTTCACCATATACTCTACTTATGTACATGTATTATTAAAGCTTTTAGTAGTTTCCTTCATCATGTATGTTTTTATGTACATGTATTAATTTCAGCTCATATTTACTTTGTATATTTTATGGGCTTAGGGCTACCTCCGTAGATAGCAACCTGCATTTAAGCTTTTCCCATGTAATTTGATATGACAAGGAGATTACCTTTATCTAAATTGTCATGGTACTAGAGCTTTGAGCCTTGGCAAATCCTCTCTCCATCCCAAATTGAGTTGCAAATTTGACTTTTTGGGTCAAACAAACTCATTTTATTCACTTAATTAGCATATCAATTCTAAATTAAATTTCACTTTGGATTTTGCAACTTTTGAGAAATTCTAATGTAGTTTTTGAATGTTTAAATTTTAATTATTGAAATTACACTAATTACCAATAGGAATGATCTAACTTTAACATTGGTTGAACAAAATATTGACTTTGCAAAACAATTTGGGACGGAGGTAGTACCTTTTATTCTAGCAAAAGCAATAACCAAGAAGATCAAGAATTGAAAGTTGAAACCATACGCAACAGAGTTCAGAGATCAGTTTATCTTTCAAAGAATTGTGATTTTTCTTGTTATAGTTTGTAGTATATGTATTGTATCATCACACAGATTCAGGAAATTTTCCTTGTCACTGAAGAACCCTCACCATGAACGGCCTATATGGGCGGTGGGCATGGGATTGCACCCGAAGTAGAGGCACCATCCTCTTCACGGGGACTCCCGGAATCCCCCTCGTTTTCACCAGACGATGTTGAGGCATCGTCATCTCTTAGGCGTTCCTCATCGTCCTCCGTTCGGTACTCACTTTTGTTCTACATCTCGATGTCAAACTCCTCGTCAAACGGGTAGTATTCCTCGTCCAAAGAGGTTGTTAAGTCAATGGGATTGAGGACGTTTTGGCCGTCAGGGAACGACATAACTACTATACAGTTCTAAGGGTGATGTTTTTCGATCTAAAACAATTCTCCTACAAGCACTAGATCTAACCCCTAAAAAGCAAAGTATAAAAGAAAATGAAAAACAAGCAATGAACTGACCTTTGAAGATTTGAAGAACTCGAAGAACATTTGAAGAACTCAGAAGGCACTTTATCTTTCTACAAACCGGCATCACTTCGCCTCACTCAGCAAATGAAAAATGAGGAGAGTGCTTCGACGGGGGGGGGGGGGGGGGTACTTATAGCAACTCCTCCCAACGGTCACCGCACGTGGTGCTCCTCTAGTGGCCATACCAAAAACGATCGCCTCCAGCGTAGCTAACCAGAAGCCAACTGACCAATTATCCAACTAGCTGCATCAGCTCCGGCCAAATCAACCACAAAAATTGGGTCATGCAATGACCACAACACAAGGAACAGACTCAGCGGCCAAACACATGGCTTCTCTTCGGTCAAGAACTAAGGTAAGGTAAAATCCAAAGCCCCCGACCCCTCGTACAGAACCCATAGATAATAATCTCTAGTTGTGACCTTCGTCCAAGGGATCTTCCACAGGGTTACCTTGGTCAGGGATTGCTAGGAGGTTGGATTCGTGAGGCATTCGGAGTTCCCGCACCGGCCTGAGACACTTCCTTACTCCTTCACACCCAACATACTCCTGGGCCTGAAGGGGTGGGGACTGGGGACTACATCGACCTCCAACAAATTGAGATCCTCAAGATGACAGACAAACTAAAATGATAAGTGACAACACAACGCCCACAGACACATGGCCCAACCTCGGCCATATTAAAGATGCAAAGAGCAAAGGAAGCGCATCGGCTTCAAAGCCGTGACCTCCATCATCCACAAAGATTTAAAGTTCCACAGAGCGGTCAGGAGAAAAGGGAAAAATACGACACTGGCCCCAGGACATGCCTTGCATCGGCCAGAGGACAACAAAGCCAAAACAGGTTAAAGAAAATATTCTACTCTCTTTCACTTCATCACATCTAAGCTCAGAGACTGGGGGACTTCTGATAAAGTATATGGGCCCGGACCTATGGCCCACATACTCATAAAACTAATATAAGGACAACTGACATCCACGTGGTTCTTCATCAGCCTGGACCTCCTTCGTCTAGGAGAAACCGGTTCCCAGATTGTAGTCTAGAAGCCCGGGAGCTAGACTTGGACCTCCATCGGCCAGACCCTCCATTGGTCAGGATCTCTTTTGGCCAACAACATTCCAGCAGTCGAGATTTTATACTTAAATCTAGAAATCATGTACTCAGTGTGACACCGCACCCGAACGTCCTTGAAAATTCGATTTAAAAATTCAAAAGTGATGTATTGAATTTCCGATTTCAAAGCAATGGAAGAAACGATTAATATTTTACGAAGTACATGATTGAATATTGTATTGTTCAAACCCGCATTCTTTTGTAATTTTCATCGTGTAAATTATTGGGATGAGCCTACACATATTGGAGATCAATAATGTGATTTAGGAAGTTGACTTGCTCTAAATAAGTTAGAATAAGTACAAAAAAAAAGACATCTTTTGACAAAGATAAAACAATAGGACCCATCTTCCCATTTTTGGAGGTATTGGTAGATATTTTGGACCCCAAATTAAATGGGATCATTTGGGAACCATCCCACATGACCTTGGTACCTGCAAAGACAAAGAAAAATGGATGAGACAACTATGTGGGGCGGACTTTTGACTCATGAGCTACAACATTACAAAAAGGAAATAAAAGAGGAGGTCCATACCATGTTTGATTGCAATCAAATACCCCACCCTTCTTTTTTGTGAACCACATGCTCTCTTAGCATGATTGAGGCCTTCCTAATACATTTTCCCTACACCCCATTCGAACTCCCAAGATAAGAGAGAAAGAGGGAGCCACATATTCCAAGAGAGAAGAGAAGAGAGAAGCTGGCCGCAGGATTCGTTTTCCAGCAGATAGGGTCTCTTGTTTGATCCATAACTTGAGCTTCACTCGTCCAAATAAGGCGTATGATATACCAAAAGAAAGCTCTCAAGACGAGGAATCTGTGAAGGCCTGGTTTGAAGGAATCGGAGTTGTGGAAGACTTCCAAATCGTCCGAGAAAAACGCAACCTCGCAGGAGAGGATTTAATCCTCTAAAGTGAGTTTTAACCCCAAAGCTTTACTTTTCATTCTCCAAATGATATGAACGATTGGTGAGACTATTATACACTAATCCAAGTGTATAATATGTCCTTATAAAGTTATTTTATTGATGTAAAGGTTAAATACTAACCTAGATGCAAATATTGGAAAACTAGGAATCGAGTTAGCCGGAAAACACCCGTTCTAGGGGCTGTTTTCGTATCAACGATTAAGGGTTGAACTAGCACTTTGAGGAGGCTGTTTAACACTCATATTTGAGCAAGGAATCAGTCCCAAATCCACCTTGACCAAAGATTTGACCGTTGGACCAAGAAGAGAAAGTTTAAAGCTCAATTGAGGTGAGGATTGACATCTAATTGCTTACAACTTGTAGGTTAAGCATGAGATTACCTAAATGCTTAAATCATGATTTTTCATGGATTATGATGATTATATATTGATGAAATATTGATATAGTTGCCAAAGAATGAAATTTGAAATGATTTGAGAAGGTATGAATAATATGAGATTAAATGAGTATAAATGAACTATTTGTGAAAATGGGCATTTTTCTCATGTATGAATTATGTGGATACATAAATGAATATTTGTGTATTGAGAATGAATGTTTAAGTTGCTGCTACATAATTATAAATATGTAGAGAATTACAAATAACAAGGATAATGGTTTGATAGCAATAATCTTAATAGTATTGAAATACTAGTTAGTGATTATTGGAACTTGTTGATTAAATTGATCCTAGGGATTGGATTGTATGAAAGGTGCTTGAATATAGTTCAAGTGTATATAATAACTTAGTATGGAACTAAGGTTAAGTTATGGGAAGTCTTTAAGGATGACCCATGGCAGTTTAATGATATGTCAATTCTAGGCATAGGGTTGCTTGAGAATTGGACCTTAATGCATGGTGATGTAGTAGAGCCGAGCTCTAGAATGCATGTAAGGTGTAGACTTGTAGTCTATGTATTGTATAGCTAGAGCCGAGCTCTAGGGATTGCGTGGTGATGTAATAGAGCCGAGCTCTAGAACGCAAGGTAAGGAATTGACCCGAGTGACATGAATTGTATGGTGATGTAGTAGAGCCGAGCTCTAGAATACAATGTCATGTGTTAGGGTTGGACTCTATTGAGTATCGTGGCTTGTAGCCACGGAAAATGGGAATGGTGATTTCTAAATGAACATGGGCCCACGGGCCGACTACTTGACTTTTACCTAAAGTAAGTATATTTTCAAATGGGTAACTTAGGGTTACAATCATAATATACTATCACCCTATTTGAGGGTCTTGTGCTTGAAATACTTGTTGTATATCTATTAGATGACTGCCACACCAGTACTTTATAGCCGTATAGAGTACTGACCCCTTCGGGGGCGTCCCACCACCATTTCAAGTTGAGGCTAGAGCCTTGCTTCCTGTGCTCGTTGCCCGAGTGATTTCCCCGGAGAGAAGACTTGGTTCGTGCTTCCTCCATTCTGTTTTAGAACATTAATAAACATGCTCATGGATATTTTACTTTAGAGCCTGCGTGCTCATGTTTGCCCTGTGTGGCCCTTTTGTTTTAAACAATGTTTTCCGCTGCGTATTCAATTGTTTATTATGTATGTTTATGGATGACTTATGTGTGAATGATATTCATGACGCCTTGTATAATATGAATGTGTTGGACTGCGGTTGACTATTCGTATTGTACGGCGGGTTGTTGACGTGTCCGGGGAGGTCCGGGGCGTGACAATTAAGTTGGTATCAGAGCCTTAGTCCATAAACTTCATAATGAAGTCTCAAAATTCTCTTTTTGAAAAGATTTTGAAAACCATGAGCATAGAAGTTTTGTACTTGGAGAGCTTTTGGTACTTGGGTTGCAAGGTCTCTAATTGTTAAGATGGTACCCTTAGCAATTGGTATGGCGGTGACTCGAGCCAAAATGTGTCTTAAGTACCTGTCCGTCAATTGACTTTTGATACGAGTCTAACGACTCTTTCCAAATTCTTTCAGAAATGGACCGTGGTGGCAGGATTACTAGGAGAAACCCGACCGGCCATGTACCAGTGGAGACTGGACAGGGCAGTCGAAGGACCTCTAGGGCATCTAGAGGAGCTGGCCGTGGAGGCCGATCACAGACCGTGAGTGACGGTCATGTCGACACGGAAAGTGAAACCTACTGGTCCTATGAGGACTCGACCTATCGACCGGAAACTGAACCGGTTGAGACCCCTTATGAAGGGGATGATGATGATGTAAGTGATGAGGAGGAAAATGGCTCCTTAGCACGGATTGAAGCACTACTTCAACAGTATCACCGTGAGCGTGAAGAGAGGAGGGAACGCCGAAGGCGCCGGGCTGGGCAACCTTCGGGCATGGCTTCACGAGGAGGAAGTCATGGTGCATCTAGAGTCCATGTGGAACCACGTGGAGGCCAAAATGATGGAGGTCCAACCATAAGGATCTCCAAATACATCAAAGAAGCAAGAGATTTGGGGTGCAAACCCTTTGATGGAGCAGGGGACATTTCAGTGGCAGCACAATGGATCAAGAGGCTAAATGAAGCGGCCCTTGACATGCAAATCGCGCCGAATCTCAAACTGAGAATTGCGGTAAGATTGCTCGAGGGGATGGCATCCAAGTGGTGGGATGGAACCAAGAACAAGTACGGTGAGACCGTCGTTTGGGAGGACTTCCAACGGGAGTTCTTTGCCCAATACTATTCTGATTTCGAGGTGAATAAG